CGGAGGAGGCGACGGGAGAAGGGGAGAACGAGACGCGTGGGAATGAAGCAACATAGGGTGGGAGCGCAAGACAGGGGAGACAGGACGAGCACGGGAGGGACGGCAAGACCAGCCGTGAGACGGAGGAGTCGGGTCAGGGGACAGAGGAGGGGACACAGGGGGGGAACGAGGGGGAAGACGAGCCGGGGACGAGTCCGACGGAGGGAACACAGGGCCGTAGACGAGAAGAGAAGGAGACGGCCAGAGAGGAACAGACGCAGGGTCAGGGGACAGAAGGCCGAGCAAGCAAAGGGCTGACACCGGCGGAGACTGCTGCTGCGGCGGCACCACGCCGACACCGGGACCGCAAGCTGCTCCTCAGATACCACCGGCACACTCCACGCCAGCACCCCCAGAGGGAACACCCCCAGGGCCCGAAACCCCTCGAGGACCGGTACCACCCCCAGGGCTACCGGGACTAGCACGCACTCCAACGCCAGCACCCCCAGAGTCAATGAACGGGTGCTGCGACGGCTGCGGCGGCAGCAATAACGACGGTTGCGGCGGCGGTGGCGGAGGTGACAATGGCTGCGACAGCAGGGGCGACAGCGGCGGCAGAGGCGGTGGAGGAGGGGATGCCTGGGGAGGGGCAGCCGGCGAGGACTGCGCCGCAGGACCACCTGAGTCAGACGACTCCTCAACTGGGACCACCGACGGAAGAGGGGTGACGTGGGACACACCAGAGGGGGCAGGACGGGGAGGAGGAGGGGGGGTAAGAAGGACCACCGGGGAAGGAGTGACCAGGAACAGGGGGGGAATAACCGAGGGATCGCGGTGGGGGAAGCGACGGTAGAAGGAGACGGACTCGTCAAAGGTGACGTCGCGAGAGTGAAAGAAGCGGTGAGACGGCGGGTGGTAGAAGTGCCAGTCGGACGCATCAAGGGGAAAACCGAGGAAGACGCAGGGAAGGGTGCGAGCAGTGAGCTTGTCCGTGCCGGAGGCATGGACGTGAGCAAGGCAGCCCCAGACGTGAAACGCAGACGCGTCACCAGGAGACCCAGTCCAAAGATGGGTCAGCGAAACCTGCGGCTGCTGGGGGTGCGGCCACAGGTTAAGCTGGTGAGAAGCGTAGCGCACAGCGAACGGCCACAGAAAATGGGGTGCACCGGCATGGATCATGGAGGTGCGAGCCACCTCCATGACCAAACCGATGCGTCGCTCAGTGACCCCATTCTACCGTGGGGAGTCCGGTAGGGTGAACGTCTGGGTGATGCCCTCCGCACGACAAAAGCGACCAAGGACACCTGAGGCAAACTCGCCACCACGGTCGGAGTGAAGACGCGAGACAGGGAGACCTCGGTGGACACGGGCAGAGACAAGCCAGGGGATGAGAGCGTCAGGCACGTCGGCCTTCCACTCCAGGGGAAAGACCGAGGTGTAGCGAGTGAAGTCGTCGACAAGCACAAGGAAGTAGCGCTCTCGACGCGGCCCATGGACGGGGGCGGGGCCCCAGACGTCCATGTGCAGGGTCTGCAGCGTCGCGGCGGTAGGGGGAAACGAGGAGGAGTGAGGGGCACGGCGAAGCCGACCCTCGACGCAAGGCGTGCAAGGTGGGGCTGGGGAGGAGGGAAAAGCGGGGAGAGAACCTGGGAGACCAAGGACGAGACCGTGCTGGGACATGTGACGCAGACGCGGGAGCGCAGGGTGACCTAGGCGGTGGTGCCAAAGGAGAGACGGGTGAGTGAGGGACCGACAGGAGCAGGCAGCAGCAACCTGGGTAGACGCAGCCACCTGAAGGGGCGCCCCAGCCGGGGGGGTCACGGTGTCCAGAGTGAACAGGCCGAACACCGGGTCCTGGGGGAACGTGGACAGGGGGGCACCGGTGGCGGCCTCGGTACAGACAGCATACCGCTCATGACCAGGGAACGTAGTGGTGACGCCAAGGTCCTGGAGGCAGCCGACACCAACTAGGTTCCTGGAGAACGAGAGGATATGCAGACTTGTAAGAGAGCCCGAAGGAACCGCCGGACAGGGAAGGGTGGTGGAACTGCGGGCGACTACCGGACCGCTAGAGGGGTCAGCAAGAGAAACGGCAGCAGGAACAGGAAGCGGCGTCAGTGTTGTAGAGTCGCGGAAGAAGCACCGGGAAGCGCCAGAGTCCAAGGTGAAGGAAAGCGAAGCAGTGGCGTCCGGTGACGGGGCGACGGCGGAAGCAACAAGGCTAAATTAAGCAGGGGATCCTACGCCTGACGCAGCAGAGGAGGCTAAGCTAGGCACACCTACACTAGACGACAATGAGTAATAAGCGGGAAGCGCACTAGAGTCATCAGCATACATCACATGCAGAGCAGAAACAATGGCATCCATGTCCATGTCAAAAATCTGAATCCTACGACTAAGCAAACTGTGCCAGTCCGGGAGGTCTGGCGACGGGCCGAAGCACTGACGAAACAGGTCGTCCAGGCGACGAAAACAGCGGGGAGTGGTATGACCGAGCTTACCGCAAACGAAGCCGCGGCGAGGACCGGTCTGGATCCGGTACTGACAACGCACGCCTCCCGAACCACCACTCAGCACACCACCACGTGCCCGACCACCTCTAGCGCCAGGCCACCCGGGCGGGAGGACACTCGCCTGCCTCGTCTGCGGCGGCTGCTGCGGAGGCTGCGGCTGTTGCGACTGTTGCGGCTGCTGTGGCTGCTGTTGCTGCTGCTGCTGCGACTGCGGAGGCGGTGGCTCAGCTGGACCGGGCAAGGTCCCCTCGTCCGCTCCAGCATCAGACGACTCGAATCCACCACCACCCCCTCCTGCATCCCTGCCTCCTCCGCCGCGCCCAGCCTTGGGGCGAGGGCCCTTCCCCGAACGAAACTGCGCTGCAGCAGCAGTCTCAGCCACAGCGACAGAGCCGTCGGAGAAGGTACACTGAGCGGGGGCACAACCCTGAAAGATAGGGACCGGCACGGTACCGCTCGCCTGGGCGATGGAGCGGTGGCGGGTCTCAATAACAGTCGGGGTGTCTACAAAGTCGGTGAGGGTGAGCTCACCGGGGTGAATGCTAAGGAAGCGGTCGCGGGCGGCGGCAAGGCGGTCAGGGAGGCGGGTGGCAAGCAGGTAGAGGGTAGAGGTAATGGGCGGCTGGTGGGCTCTAAGCTGTGCGTCAGTGCAGGCAGCGCGCCAGGTCTCATCTATCGAGCGCAGGTGGGCAGCTAGGTCAGAGACAGTGGGGAAAGACGCAAGGTCGGGAAAGAGCATCGGGAGGATCAGGCGACCCACCGAGGCAGCAGGAGGGGTGGAATAGCGCTTGATGACAGCATCTAAGTAAGCCTGGGCAGTACTGATGGACCTAAAGCGAGGGCGCTCAGACGGGGGAAGGGCATTGCTAATGGCAAGCTGAGCGACAGCGTCTCAGGAAAGCCAGATAGAGCGCGCAAGGGCAGCGGCTGCAGTAGACTCGCGCTCAGCGGGTGTGGGGTCAGCGGGCAGCACAGCAGGGGGGTCTGGGCAGGGGAGCGTACTGTCAAGGTGTGCGGAAAGCGGGTGGCCATCCTGCCGATGGCCAGTGAGGTGGCGACGGAGGTCGGCGAGCCATGCCTCGAACTCCAGAGGCTGGCCTTCAGCGTCGAAGCGAAGCTCCGCCGACATCAGGAGCAGTGCAGGACTGTACAGTGCGGTGCAGTACGGTGCAATGCGGTGAAGTGCGGTGCAGGGCGGTGCAGTGCGGTGCAAGGCGGTACCATGCGGTGCAGTGCGGTGCAGCTCGGTGCAGTGTTGTACAGGTGATGGGGAACCGTACCAGGGAGGATGCAGGGCCGGGGCAGGGACGAAGAGCGGGCCGCACACAGCTCGGGGCAGGACGGGCGCGGGGGCCAGGAGCAGCGGGCACCAGGCCGACGGGACGGGCGCGGGGCCGGCTGGGACGGGTGCAGGGGCCGAGCAGACGGGCGCGGAGGTCGCGAGGGCGGGCGCAGGGCCGGCTGGGACGGGCGCAGGGGCCGAGCGGACGGGCGCGGAGGTCGCAAGGGTGGGCGCGGGGCCGGTAAGAACGGGGCCAGGCAGGCGCGGCGGGGCCAGGCAGGCGCGGCAGGGCCAGGTAGGTGTGGCGGGGCCAGGCAGGCGCGGAGGGGTCAGGCAGGTGCGGCGGGGCCAGGCAGGCGCGGTGGGGCCAGGCAGGCGCGGCGGGGCCAGGCAGGCGCGGCGGGGCCAGGCAGGCACGACGGGGCCAGGCAGGGCGCGACGGGGCTAGGCGGGCGCGACGGGGCTAGGAGGCACAACGGGGCCCACGAGGGGCGCGACGGGGCTAGGAGGCGTGACGGGCCCAGGAGGGGCGCGACGGGGCCCAGAAGGGGTGCGACAGGGCTAGGGGGGCGCGACGGGGCCCAGGAGGGGCGCGACTGGGCTAGGGGGCGCGACGGGGCCCAGGAGGGGCGCGACGGGGCTAGGGGGCGCGACGGGGCTAGGAGGCACGACGGGGCCCTGGAGGGGCGCGACGGGGCCCAGGAGGGGCGCGACGGGGCCCAGGAGGGGCGCAACTGGGCTAGGAGGCGCGACGGGGCCCAGGAGGGGCGCGACGGGGCTAGGAGGCGCGACGGGGCCCTAAGGGGGGGGGGGGTAGAGAGAGAGTACAGGTGACTATACCTAAGTGTTGTACTCTCTAAGAGGTGGCCCTATACAGTCTATGCAAATATAGGAGATACACATGGTTGACATTTTTCAGGCCTTAGAAAATGGGAACACATAAATCTCAGGTTTGATAAAAATCAAAACCTGAAAAATCAGGGTATGCCCTAGAAAACACCCTGACATACAGGCTTTCAGGCCTTTTTGGCCTAACTTCTGAGGCCTTGGACATGAGACTTTAACAACATTCATATATCTATGCACATAGTTTAGGCGCGGAACGATCATGTGGGTGTTATAAGCGGAACGAACACAAATCGATAGCTACTCCCACGGAACCCCCCTCCCTGCCCCTGCCAAATCCCTCTCCCCATTCTTGCACAACATTGCTCGTCGCCCCTCGTTGCTCGTCGTTCGTGCATTGCAATGTTACCTATCGCATGCCGCGCGCTTCGACGCACAAGCTGCCTAACCACGCCATGGCGCTTCCCCAGCTCGCCGCATCAGCGCGTCCAGCTTGCACTCGCTGGCGCACCTCGAAGCTCACAACTCGCTATTCCTCTCCTCCGCTCGCCCCTCTCTCCCACCTCCATCGCGCGAAGCTTCGATTCGACTTGTCGCTGGGTCCTATGATACGATCGCTCTCGTGCTGGACCCGAGCAAGACGTTCTGGACAAGGGATCGATCGCGCACCATATAATGACGCTCTGCCATCGCTAACTTTGTGCTTCCGATCAGGTCCGAATCCAGTTCACCGTCTTGTCTTCTCCTTCAGGATCTCCACTCTTTGCGTGTCGCTAATACTAGCAGCACGAGCGGCTGTTTACTCTCGCAAGTAATCCACCTGTACTTTTAATCGTCGTCAGCGTCTGCTTCAACATCAGCATGTATTCGCAGCACGCATACGGCCAGCAGCACATGGGCAGCCAGCAGGGCTGGAGGACCAGGCAAGTCCACGCTTCCCCATTCTCTTCCCGCGCCTGCTTCTAGCGGCGGCGTGTCGCACGCTTCGCTAGCAGCAGCTATCATGTGGCAACCACAACCTTTCACGTCTGTCTCGCGCTAGGCTTGCTCTCTTCTGGCTGCGTTTGGTGCTGTGGCCCCCCTCCTACAGGGACATCGTGTTCACGGTGGCGGGCCTTGGGATTGCCGCCACCATCGCGACCGTCACCGTGGTGGGCGGTGGAGCCACGCTGCTCTTCTTCTCGCCCGTGCTGCTCTTCTTCTCGCCCATCCTCGTGCCGCTGCTGCTGCTCGGAGGTGCGATGATGCGATAGGACCTTGGACTGTCCGTGGGGGGATTTATCCTGTTTTCACGAGGATGGAGGGGCGCTGATTTTGTTGCTTCGGCAGTGCATATTTCAGCCTGATTCATACCATATTCCTCTCATGCTGCATGTGGATCATGACGCATGGATTGCAAGTCTGGGAGCCGGCGCACCCACCTTTAGCTCCTGCCTTTTCCGTCTTCCTCCCTTCTCCCTTCCTGTCTGAGTCTCGCCAGGTGGAGCTCTGGCATTGGCCACAGCAGCAGCAGCCACCGTAGGCACACTCGTGTGGGTGTGGAACTACTTCCGTGGGAAACAGCCGTACGGCTCTGACCAGGTGGACCGCCTCACTGGGGATGTGAAGAGTGTCGCTGGTTACGTATCCCACAAGGTGGCTGATACTGCACGCTCCATCGGCGAGACGGGCTATGGCACGGCCAGGGACACCGCCGGACAGGCGTATGGCACTGCGATGGACACTGTAAGCGGCTCTGCTGGGCAGTTGTATGGGGGAGTGAGGAGCACGGCTGCTCAGGCTGTGGGAGGTGGTGGTACGAAGCCCACTTCGGCTGCAGCTTAGAAGGAAAGACTTTGCAGTGGAGGGGGGTTGAGTTTGTGGGGGGATGTGTAGGGTGATGGGAGAAATAGCGTATATTGTAAATGGAATGTACATAATTTTTTGCATATGATGACCAATTTCAAATGCTGCAGCTCTCAAGTTATATATGTCAAACATGTTTATTGATCATGTTTGTATAGACTGTATAGGGTAATCACCTAGAGGGTACAACATTTAGGTATATGTGCATGTACTCTCTAACTCCATGATTCATTCAATTCTAGTTTTGAGATGGTATCACGCGTAGGTTTCGACCCCCCCCCCCCCCCCCCCCCCCCCCCCCCCCCCACCTACCGCTTCCGTTCCTCCCGTCGCGTCTCCTAGCCTAGCCTCACCCCTCCTGAGCCCAGTCGCGACTCCCCCCCCCTAGCCCCGTTGTGCTCCTCTCAGGCCTCGTCGCGCCCCTTCCAGGTCGTCGTAGCGCCCCTCCAGGCCCCGTCGCGCCCCCTTTCCAGGGCTTCGTAGCGCCCCTCCAGGCCCCCGTCGCGCCCCTCCTGGGCTCTGTAGCGCCCCTCCAGGGCCCCGTCGCGCCCCTCCTGGGCCCCTTAGCGCCCCTCCTGGGCCCTGTCGTGCTCCTCTCAGGCCCCGTCGCGCTCCTCCCAGGCCCCGTCGCGCTCCTCCCAGGCCCCGTCGCGCTCCTCCAGGCCCGTCGCGCTCCTTCCAGGCCCCGTCGCGCTCCTCCCAGGCCCCGTCGCGCCCCTTCCAGGGCTTCGTAGCGCCCCTCCAGGCCCCGTCGCACCCCTTCCAGGGCTTCGTAGCGCCCCTTCTGGGCTTTGTCGCGCCCCTCCTGGGCTCGGTCGCGCCCCTCCCAGGCCCCCGTCGCGCCTCTCCCTGGGCCCCCCCGTCGCGCCCCTCCCTGGGCCCCCGTCGCGCCCCTCCTAGGCCCCCCTTAGCGCCCCTCCTGGGCCCCGTAGCGCCCCTCCTGGGCCCCGTCGCGCCCCTCCAGGGCCCTGTAGTGCCCCTCCTGGGCCCCGTCGCGCCCCTCCTGGGCCCCGTCACACCTGCTCGGCCCCGTCACCCCAGCTCGGCCCCGTCGCAGCCGCTCGGCCCCGTGGCGCCCGCCCGGCCCCTGTCGCAGCCGCCCGGCCCCTGTCGCACCCGCCCGGCCCCGTCACGCCCGCCCGGCCCCGTCGCAGCCGCCCGGCCTCGTCGCTGCCGCCCGGCCCCGTCGCAGCCGCCCGGCCCCGTCGCAGCCGCCCGGCCCCGTCGCAGCCGCCCGGCCCCGTCGCAGCCGCCCGGCCCCGTCGCGTCTGCCTGGCCCCTCGTCGCGCCTGCCCGGCCCCGTCGCGCCTGCCCGGCCCCGTCGCGCCTGCCCGGTCCCGTCGCGCCTGCCCCGGCCCTACATACTTCCTGGTACTGTCCCCCGTTCCCCGCACCGCTTTGCACCCTCCTGCACTTCCCTGCCCCGCCTTGCACCGCATTGCACCTCACTGGACCGCACTGCACCGCACTGCATCGCACTGCACCGCACTGGACCGCACTGCACCGCACTGCGCCGCACTGGACCGCACTGCACCGCACTGCATCGCACTGCACCGCACTGCACCGCCCTGCACCGCACTGCACAGCACTACACCGCACTCCACCGTCCTACACTGCCCCTGATGGCTGCTGAGCTTCGTTTTGATGCTGAGGGCTAGCCTCTGGAGTTCGAGGCGTGGTTGGCTGACCTTCGCCGCCACCTCACCGGTCAGCGGCAGGACGGCCACCCGCTTTCTGCCCACCTAGACGGTATGCTCCCCTGCCCTGACCCCCCTGCTGTGCTGCCCGCTGATCCCACGCCCACTGAGCGCGAGTCCACTGCCGCCGCTGCCCTTGCCCGCTCTGTCTGGCTTTCCCGCGATGCCCTTGCTCAGCTCGCCATTAGCAATGCCCTCCCCCCCCCTGAGCGCCCTCGCTTTAGAACCATTACTACCGCCCAGGCCTACCTCGATGCTGTCATCAAGCGCTATTCTACCCTCCTGCCGCCTCAGTGGGTCGCCTGATCCTCCCCCTGCTCTTTCCTGGCCTTGCGTCTTTCCCCACTGTCTCTGACCTCGCTGCCCACCTGCGCTCGATCGATGAGACCTGGCGCGCTGCCTGCACTGATGCACAGCTTAGAGTCCACCAGCCTCCCATGACTCTAACCCTCTACCTCCTTGCCACCCGCCTC